AAAGTATTTTGTAGATAAAAAATCTGAATTTTTAATTAAGAATTTTTACTAAAACTATGTCTAATTATGTGGTATCAGTGTTGACTTCTCCAAGTGCAAAGTGATTTTTATGTTAAGAATAAAAATTATTTTCATCTGAAAATTTTCAAGTTTCATTTACATAATCCCTATAACCTCCTAAATAAATATGAAATGTTTTTTTCAGAAAAACGTTGTATCTTATCCATTATTTTCTACACTATAACTCTATACAAGGTTGGTGCAATTGACCGGCCTCATAAATAATTCTAAATTACCCTTTTTTCTTTCTGGAATGACTGCAAATTGTAACAGGAAGTCACAATTGTTTATCCTTAATGGCTTAAAGCTTGTTACAGTATGCATCTATTTATACTTAATTTTATTGTTTTATAGCCTTTTGAACCATGTCTAACTAATAATCTTGCAACACAAGTTGTAAATGAAATCAACAACCATGTAGCTCACATTATTGTATCAAATTCCATAACACATGTAAGTTATAAAAATAAAAATTATATAATCAAGAGTCCCAAATCAGTATGAATTACCAATGTTTTGAAAAAAAAATGAAAACGGCTAGTTAGTGTGTGGAGGGGGGTAAAAAATAGAGCTTGGTCTTCATCTGGAAATATTAAAAATTGTTTGTCTAACTAATAAGTGCATGTACATATATGTATAAAAATAATTTAATTTCTTGCATAAAACTAAGAACACTAATGTCAAACTGTTCAAAACAACACAAAAGTAAAGGGTTAAACAGCATAAAAATGTGTTTATATATTTTTTGGACAAATATACTCTTTTTAAGTTCTATCAGCATTTACTTTAATTTGGTACCTATGTTTAGAAAAACAATAACTAGTTCTACTTTTGTATCTTACATGACAATATAATTTAAAATTTATTTAGTACAGAAACACAAAAGTCAATTGTTCATGGCATTATTTACTACCTTCATAACACAAACTACAACAAAATAATCTAGATCAAACAATTTAAAGATAAAACAGTTACCTCTTCCAAGAAGCCAACGGTGGTAAAACCATGCACTTTGATCAGAAGGATCAGTAAAAACTGCATTCTGAACTAAATCATATTCTAAAAAGAAACATAACACAAAGATATAGATTCAAGACATAATACACAATTACCACATGTACTTTTAATCAAATGAAAGAGCAGTGAGTTCTTAAATAACAAAAACAATGGATATAATGACTATAGAACTTTAAAAAAAAAACAACTAATAATTGAATCAAGTAAAACAGATATTTTACATGAAATTAATAAATAAAAGTGCAACATATTACAAAGGTTTAATAAGGTTCTAATCCTTTTCATTAAATGTTGAATATTTCACATATTATTAAAGATGGTGAGTTAGTTTTACATGTACTCACAAAAATGTCATGGTCATTAGTAAGTACAAAGGTTATTTATAAAAATTTTTTTATTAAATTCAACACATAAACAAGTCTAAAACAAAGACAAACTATCCAAGCGAAAATATACATCAATACAATGTAAAACTATAATCCAAGATTTAAAAAAAGTTTTCATTATAAACATTTACCTTTAAGCAATATCGCTTCAGCTACAGAGTTTCTTTCACAACTAGGATGCACTATAGGCAAAAGAGAGCTACGGTAATGCCATGCAGAATAATTTGAGAAATTTGCTTCAACTTTTTTCAAAGTGAACTTCAATTCTTCATCTGGTCCAACATTGGAATGTTTGCAAACAAATCTTCGATAATCCCAACAATGAACTGCAAAAAAAAAAGTTAATCAAATAGCATTTAAATTAATGAGGTAAACAACCAGGGAGGGGGGGTTAAAGGTCAGGTCACATAAATATGAATGCGTATGGAGAGAGGGTTGGCTTAATATAAAAGTACATTGTGTTAAGTCTACTTCACATTTGCTAATACAATATAGCAGTTCTGTTGCAAATCCATACTGGTAACTTTCTTCACATGTTCTACTGACTTGAGACACAAGTGTATCATAAGTTTCTCTACAGAAGGTTTGTGTATAAGCTAACATTCTTTTTTATTATTTATCTTAAAAATAGTAACATATAATATTGAAAACAGTTTTATACATCAAGTCTTGGGATTTTATACTTTAATCTTGTTATCTTTCACTGTAACAACTTCTCCTTCAAATGACTTACCTGTATCTAAAACTGAAGTTTGATATGAATATCTCAACATAACCATAAAGCACTGCAACAAGAAGCTTTAGATATTTTTAATATGTAAAACAAAATGTTAAAGAGTTTGACATCAGTGGCAAAACATTTACAGGAATGGAAGTGATGTCTACTTCTACCCCCCAAAATATACATTTATATTTAATAATATCTTTACAGCTTTTACACACAACATAGGTTGATGCTGTACTCAAACACACTGATAATGTTATTTGATGATACTTTCCATTACTTTTAGTTGAAGGTTACTGCATTTATAAAACTGGAAATTTAGTTTGCTTTTACTTAGAATAAAGTTCAACACTATAAATTTTGCAATTATTCTTAACTTCTTTAAAATTTGAGCTGCATTTCAATAAAATTTTGGGATGTATTTGTTGTTTTTAGAGAGAGCTAAAAAGGATGAAAAGAAACAAAGATTTAACTTTGTCAATGATGTTCATTAACTAAATAAAATGTTGCTTTATAGTCTGGTCTCTCCCTGATTGGGTAGAAGCAACTTAATGTACAACTATCCCAAGTTTAGCATTGCCCTGGATGATCCATTCTCGGTGCTGCTTGGTTTTGGTCTGGAGTTGACCCACCAATTACAGGTACAGATGTGGTGTGGTCTTCCATGAGTGTGTTCCTCTACAGAGAGATGTCACACTTCAAATGCTTTTTGAAGGGTACACAACTAGGAAACTTTGCACCGGTCCCTCAACCATTTCAAGGGAGGATTCTAATTATTATGTGAGAGGAGGTAAGTTATCATATTGGAAGTTAACAATTTCCTACACTGACAATGTATTTCCAATAGATACTTACCTCTGATGCTTACTTTTTGCCTAATCTTGAAGTGTAGATTGGGTTCTAAAGTATAGAGAGAGTCAACTGTGCTAGGAGGGAGTGTCGAATTCCTATTAGTAGAGGGTTGTCGCATACTTATTTATGTAAACATGTGGAATAGCACAAAGCTAGTGGGAAGCAAAATTTTGCTCATATATAGGGCATTAGTTGTTAAAAAAAACTACTATGTGAGAGGGGATAAGTTATCAGAATAAATAGTTTTACTTCTTAACCCTTTCAACGCGGGTATCCCTTTAAACACTTTTCTGCACAAGTATGTTCAAAACTTTACTATCAATGTGAATGAAATTAACATTATAATGTATGTTATGATTCAAAGTTTTGTGTTATCTAATTTTTAAGTCCTTTATTTCAAAAGAAATCTTTAACCTTATTGCCAAAGGTGTCCATTACCGTGCACAACGCGCAGTTTCAGTGTTTTACATTCAAAATTTTATTAAACTATCATAAAGTCTTGGCTAATAATCCATATTTTAAAAAATCCTGAATTTCTCCTAGTGTAACACACGTGACACATTTTCTCTAGGTATCTTCTCTTCTCTATTTCATCAACCACCCTCCAATAACTACGAAATTAAACATAAATTACTCACTATAAAATCACCATTGCTCAGATAAACCATAATTTTTATAGCCTTCAATTTTGTTTGGTTACAGAGCTATCCAACAGAAAATCATACCATCTCCTGTCACATCCTCTCTTTTATGATTTGTTAATAGTTCTCTTTTACGTATAATTATATATTACCTACAAACAATAGAAAGTCAAGATTTTCATCTATCAAATAATGTATTATATTACATTGTTTTCTGAATGGAGAATTGTCAATTTCACTTGTAATACAACTTTGGCTCCCACAGGAATCACAACAGCTAGCTTGGATGAACTTGTAACGGCTCTTGTCATATAGTTAGAAAGCCAGAAAAATTGTGATTGTGGTCATCTGTTTTTTGGATGTTATTATTCTAGTAAAAAAGTAGAGTTAAGTGTCATTGATAGTTGACAGCAAAAAAAAAGGAATACTCAGGTAAGTACTTTATTTCTTATTTTTCATATTAATTCTTTATTATAAAAGTAACTAAAATGTAAAACTAGGTATCTTTTTATGTTAGTTAAGGTTAGATTAGATAAAATAATAAGCAATAATAATATAATAAAAATATTTCACACGGCATGCATGAGAGCAGCTCGGAGTAGCTCGTGGGTAAGTTAATTCAATAGCATATTGTGAGCTGCACATTCCCCAAGTGATTAACAACTTATAATGGCACAAATAGTATTTAAACATAGTTCAAAAATAATAAAATTTCATTATAAATAGATGTATACTGTGATGAGTTTGAAGCTACTTAAGATAAACAAATGTCATTTCAAGCTACATTTGAAGTCATTCTAGAAAGAAAAAGAGGGTAATTTAGACTTATTTCAATTTAGTTTTTTTTTTGGTGTTATGATGTCAGTCAAATTGACTAATCTTGTATAGAGTTAGGGTAGAGAAAATAACAGAGAAAATATATAGTTTTACTGAAAACAATTATTTGAAATGTATTTAGGAAGTTTTAGAGATTACAATAATGAAATTTGAGATTCTTTAGATGAAG